ATTGTTGGATTATACTTTGGCATACCCTGCCAGTGGGAATGGAATCATTGTACCTCAATACATCCTAAAGTGAGCTCAGCTTCAGAAAAAAAAATCAGAGAAACTTCCTAACATTTACCCTGGTGCACAGTAGATTTGGATTGGAGCTTCTACATACACAGTGCCTGTTCTCACTCCGCAATCCAGGGCTATCGTATATGGGCTGCAATACTTTGGAGAACCACTAGAGGTCAGCAAAGAGATTAGAAAATCCCAGCCTCTGCTGCCATCAGGTTGGGGCTGATTTACACAGCCCCAGTATGGTAGTCCTGCACTTAGGCAGATCAGTTACAGCCACAGCAGCTGCAGCTGCGTAACATGTGAAGTTTTCTTTTTCAATCTATGCTTGTTATGTGAATCCGACCCATTTGGCTAGTTTATGGTTCAATATACGGGGCAAACTCAGAAAATAGGTTAATGTAGTACCCGGTGAAGTGTGTTGTGGGGAGCACAACCAACATGGTATGAAGTGTTTAGCCCCAAACTCTGTCAACTGCATCTGTGTTGAAAGGAAATAGTCAATCTTATCTGAGCAATACTGCAGGTACTTCAATATCCATATGCTGGTAGAAGTGTTAAGAAGCATAAGTTGTGCCTTATTCTCTGTTTCTTGTGCTGCGTGGAAAATTGCTCTGTGAAGCCTTCTCAGTTCTTACTCACTTGTAATGCTAGGCTGAGTGGGTTTGTAGCATTACAGAGTAGGAATTGTCATGATGACAGCTGTTTTAAGACTACCTTGCCTTTACATTTTACTTTTTAAAATGTTGTTAAATGTAAATAGTATCTTGTGATTTGAGGGAAAAAATGGCTGAATTAGCTTGTTTTCCTCATTCCTCCTTGTCCTTTTTTCCTTATGCCTGGCTTTTAGATTCTAAGCTGGAGAGGATAGATGAGTAAGGTTATTGACTTTATGTAAACAGCTCTAAGACTCTTTCCATCTGAAGCGCAAGTAAAAAAAATAGGTTCAATAAGTACTAGGTAAGTATAAACACAGTTTTACCTTAATCAAGCTGAAGAGCAAATATTCTCTAGGCAAGCTAGTCAGAGGCTAATAGGTCCTTCAAGTGATATTATCATCTCACTGCCTCAAAAAACTTCACCAGGAATGATGAAGGAACTTAAAACTGCAGTCCTCTTTCAGAGGATCAGCATGCCTTCTAAAACAAAAAGGGCATGCTACCGAAAGAAGTCTCTGGGGTATTCTCTCCCTGCCCCCTTGGGCTCAGTCATGAACATCATGCCATTTACCACACAGCATGGCCAAATATAGAAGAATCTCATGCACATCTGAAAAGATACTTAAGGATTTAAATTGATTAGTTAACAAGGTCAACTTCAGGAGCAGCCAAGAGCTACCGTAATGAAAATCTGTATACAGCAATCATCTCCTCTGGTTGTAAGATACACAGAGCTTTCTGTATCACCCAGATTCAAAGTTCAAGTGTTTTAAGCCAACTTGATACTTGGTAATTATTAATTAATGGGTATTATCAGACTTAGATAATAAGTAAAATCCTCTCTTCAGGAGGATTTACCACCAATGAATTAAGAAATGTATCCTATCATGAAACTTAGCTGTGCAATCATATACATATCCAATCAAACAATGCTCGCAGTGGATCCTACAGGACTTGTTCCAGGTATGTACAGAATTGCAGCTCTACTTATGGAGTACAGTTGTACGCATCTTAGTTCAGTATTAAACTCCATGATGTCAGAGCTTAATCTCTAGAAAATATGTTCAAACTGAAACTTAAAGCAGAGAATTACATTTACAGTATATATTCTTTGTTTTTAACCTCTAATTGTAGATAGAAATTATGCAGCAGTAGGGAAACTGCTAAAATATAATAGTTACAGATAGCATGGCTAATAGTGAGAGATGCTGAAAATTAGTTCAGCAACATCTGGAAGGCTAGAGATTCCCAATTCTTTGCTGTGCAGTGTTAAAACTACAGTATTTAAAAGTTATCAGATATTCCCATGTGGAAGAAATTATCATGGCATTTCTCATAATCTGTGGATGGGTTGCAATCAGAAAAATTAAATTCAGCCTCAAAAACTTGGAGGTCAGTCAAAAGTTCATTAGACTGCTTGCATACAGATATATGTTAGAGAAAAATAATCCAAACATCCTAAATAAAATCTTTTCCTCTCTGTGGACTTTTATTTTCAAGAATATCTTTCTTTCTCGCTCTCTCTTTTGTATTATATAGAAATATTGTTGGATTTCTTAAGACATTAAAAAATGGCACAGTTTAACAATATATATACACCATGTGAATACATCCTGGTAAAAATCCTACACAGAATCTAATAGCAATACGAAGAGAACGTGACATATAAATTGACTCAGAAGTAGTAGTAGTGGGAAATTGTCACCTGAAAAGTAACCATTTGGATCAGACTTCCCCAACCTAGTGCCCCAATGTGCCAGACTATAGCTCCCATAATGCTCATCGAGGAAGGTTGGGGAGTGCTATTAATTTGGAACAAGGGTAAATCAGGACATTCACAGATAAGTTTCTTCCATTTGTTGCACATTTCAGTGTACCTAAATGCAATGAATCTTCATAGGCTTAACTATAATGGCAAAACAATCCTGCAAAATCTTGGGGGATGTCAATTATCTTCACAGGTGGACTTCTGAGGGACAAATAACCAAGACTATCCAGCAGCGACAGAAATAAAAGCATGCCTACCATAAGAAGGTAGAATGTGAAAAGGTCTGGAGGATCTACACATAGAGCAAGTGGGATTCTGTTATATGATCTGACTATTTATTTCAAAGTGAAAATTCGCATGCTTAAAACCAGAAAGTTATAGGTTTTCACCCTGATGTGCAGTATTCAGTTAAAGAAGCATGCTATGGGTGAATTACTCAAAGAATGTGCAGATGTCTGCAAATTATTATATTAATTCAGAAGTAATATGCTATTTTAACAATATTATATATTCTTTGACTAAAGAAATAGGTTTAATATTTAACTATATTGTGACTTTAACATGCTTCCCAATCCTAGAGTAGCTCCTCTTCCCCACCTTTTTAAAAAACAATCAGATCTACTCTCAGGCATACTTAAGATTGAAACATGTCATATTCTGTTTCTATTCAAGATTATTTGAAAATTAGTATCATCAAGTATAATGGAGCTGTCTTAAATGTGCATAAGATGTTTGTGCAGAAATAAGTCCTACAGCCTTCAGTGAATTAGGGCTACAGTCTCATAACACATTTTAACAAAAAGGTTTCACTGATATTAAGGGAAATTAACTCCCTAGTAAATGGGTGAAGAACTGTGGTTTTAGTTACTTTGTGGTGCTCCTTTTGGCTGTAGTGAACCCTGAAGAAATCTTTTGGATCCCTTTTGTACCTCTTAAAGACAAGGAAGCAACTATTCCTCACTTTCTCAAGCAATTTTTCACCAGCTACAGCTATTTTGTGCTGCAGAATGCCACCGGGTGATGCTACTGCACTTAGAAGACCACACAAACAGACTGGGGATGATGTGGTTCCATTATTTTTTAAACTTCAAACTATCTAGGTTGATCACTTCTGCAACACAGTACATCACTGTAAGCCAACACAGAGGGTTTGCATGTAACCAATGACTTTCTGGGGCCACATAACGGCAGCCATGTCTATTTTACAGATTTCCTGTCTAAGAGACAAATTCATGCCTCCACTTCATTAAATGTGTTAGATGTAAACTCAAAGATCAGATAAGATGAGCTGACGCTTGGGGAGTGCATAATAAAACTACTGTATCTAATCTTAAATAAGAAGGTTCCTGTTCTGATTGATTGAAACAGACCTCCTTTATGATTGAAGCATAAATTATTTTGTTCCTTTTTTGCCTTTAAAAAAAGTTATACTACAAAAGTCTCCATAATAAATGTCTTTAAAAGTACCTATAATACAAGTTCTAAAAATAATGCAAATACACATTTTTCTTCACACTATAACACTCAAATAAATCCTTTGCTGTTCACTGTGAATATGGTCCAAGGTGTATAAATTGCACTGATTCCTAAAGAACCAAGGGAAAAAAATCACTGCATTCACTCATTCATTCTGCAATATAATTACAGTGATAACGCAGTTATGCCCATCACTAAAAAGTACTATTGTAAATATCCAACATTCCTACATTAGGAAAATTAGATTAAATTATAAATTAGGCCATTTATAAGGGCTAAATTTTTGTCCTTAGATGAGCTGAGAATTTCATCCCCTTCCCCAACGAGGACACCAGCCATCAAGGGCACTGGTTTGCAAAAATGCAAGGTATTCTCAAGCTCAAACAGTGCTATCTTACAGTGTTTACTCAGAAATCAATTTCATTGCCCAGAAGGGGGCTTACTCCTGGGTAATGAGTTTAATGGAACTGCAGTCTATGCATATCCCAATCCTTATTAACTGAGTAAGCCTTATTAACTGAGGGAAGGGGAGCTCCTAAACAACAGTGAATTCTGAGCTACCATTTACAGCAAAATTACAACATACTGAAAGCAAGTTCTGGTGAAAACATGACCGATAAGCTTTTGTGACATTGTGAGAGCACTGCAAAAATATCCCCAACCATCTTAAGATAAAACAGCAGGTATTTCCAAAATGATATGTTACCGTAACATTGTATATGCAGAATGCTTATACTTTGCTGCTCTTCAGCTTCAATAATATTGTTCACTTTTTCTGTTAATACATTAACACAATGAGTAGCAATAAATAAACTAGAGGAAAGCTCTTAAAGATTGTATTAATAGTACATTGTGCAAAACATGTAATGACCTACCTTCTATACACATACCCTGACTAAAATATGCAGGCTAAATCTAGAAGCCATTGCTCAGTTTCTACCTTTTCCTTGGCAATTCAACTGGCCACAGTCCTGTGTTATTTTGGATACTTGCATTCCCTTGATTTTGTGGGGTGAAGGGGCTGAGCATGTGCTAGACCACTGCCACAGAGTCCAACTAACCCTGCACCATTAACATCTATGGGACCTTTGCTATTGGTCTGAATAAAACCAACTGTAGACATTGAATAATGGCTTCCATATCTGGCCTGCTTTTGTGATTGGTGTTACACTTATATTAATCCACTTAAGTGCAGGAGAATTTTTTTATGATGATGATGATGATGATGATCTGCAAAAAAAATAAAAAGTCCTTGCTGTAATAGATTTAGAAGTTGGTTCCAAAACCTGCCCTCTTATTGGGAAGATGAATAGCTTATGCAGTTTAGACAATGAAGTAACTCTTTCAAGATCCATTATAATGTCATTATCCAGCAGGGGTAGGCTTTTTAGTTCCAAAAAAGAAGGACGGCTCAGTATCTATTTATCATTAAGTGCTTTCTTCATTCAAATAAACAATAGTTCAATTCATCAACATGTCCTCTGCTGCTGAGAAGAAGAAAATGATGATCCCTGTCTGGTAGGTAGGTGTCCCAAACGAAATTCTCATTGCTTCTTCAGACAGAGGCTAACAGCACCCAAGCCAATTTGGAATCTACAATTTTGGTTATCTTTGTTTTTTTTTTTCTTTTTAATAATAATTTGAAAAACCTAGGTCAACCAAGTTTAGTAAGCTGGAGGTCTCCATTTATCTTTATTGTATCAATAGCTGATAACTTCTCAATGCGATGGTAAAAATCAAAAAGCTGGTGTCCATCCACAAATATTCTAAAACGAGGGTGCTCACACAATATTTCAACCTGTAAGAAATAAAGTATGAATTTTAATTGGAAGGAACATTTTAAGAACTCAAAAGTAGCACTGATATGAGAAGTGCTGCAGTATCTATCTTACATTGCTTTGACCATCTATGTGGTTTGGGCTAGATCACTCACAGATGTAATCTTTTGTAATCCAACTATGCAGACACAGTAATCCATAAAGAACTGGAAGGCTATTTGCATCTGAGAAAACAAAACCTGCTCACAGAATCTGGTTGACATCACTGAAGCCCCTGGGTCAAATTCAGTTTCATATCTATAGCCAGGTTACAAGTATAGCTTCCCAAAGTATTAACAAAATGTACTAATTGATTAAAGCAAATGGTACAGTAAAATGAGACAACATAATCAAAGCACTGATGGGTTAAAAACTGCAATTCCTAGAAGCATCTCTGGGTGCATGGTATAGATGAGGATGAAAAGGTAGTATGGTACAACAACAATGCAGATAATGGGATACAAATAAATAAATACAATTAAATAGCTGGGATAACTTTATGAGTATGTTAAGTGGGAAGCTCATAGATAATATTCTCTCTTTTTTTCCTAATGCAAGTATAAGTGCACAGAAGTCTCATCCTTAAAGGCTCCTGCACACAGGTGGGAAATCATATTCATGCCTAAGCTTCGCAAAATTCTTCCATCAACCATTCTATACATATTTTAAGAACACTTAAAGGAAATC